TTTAAAGCAACAAGATACAAACAGACGTTAGAATTAGAATTAAGTCCTTGATATTCTATTATCGTTTTAATTTTATTAGCATATAAACGGTCTATATTTTTTTAAATGTGATAGAGATTTACTTATTCTTGTTAAATCGATTTTTTGTACAAACATTTTTTTGCAAATAGATTTTTTGTACAACGCCGAAATAAAATGTGGAATCTGTATAATAATGGCATTTTTATTTCTTTTTTGTTAACCTCTACAAGTGCTAATTTTGAAAACAAAGAATTATTAACTTTATAATCTAAGCAACTAAGCAACTAAAACTATGCGACCAGTCATTGGATGGGTGACAAAATATTTATAATATCAAACTCCTCTGTGCCTCGGCAAACACGTTAAAACTTTGCTGTATATCTCCTAGTCGTATTTGCGATCTTTAATAGCACTTATCCACACTGGGCCCGTGGCGTGGTGGCTAGTTGTCGCTCTGTATATTACAACAAGTCAAAAACTATCTTTCTAAATTTAATCAATTGCCCAACTAATTAATTCTGTCTACGGGCTCATTTACTCGTTTCCCATAAATAATTAACGCCACAAAAAAAACAATTATCTGAACATGTTGACACATTGACAGCTCCACGATACAGCTTATTAGCACCATTGACCCAAAAAAGAGTCAAACTTGAGACCTTCGACGCCCACGAACACCAGTATCTGTCAACGTGACGGCAGTAAACACGCACGTGTATGAGTTCAAAAACGGATATATCGAAATATCATTTATACTATGTGGAAATTTGATGGGCGACTTATGGTTTTATTTATAATCAATGAGTATAAACGTGAGTTGTATCGATTTGATTTTTTTTTTTTATTTATTTACAATGGGCTCACTCTTGACCTCAATCTAGCCTAAAGACATAGATGAGATCTACGGTGGGACGAGCTTGCCCAAAAGCAACCTATTCACTCTTGCCCTAAATAGGTCTGGGTTATATGCACTCGGGAATATAGACGCCGTCAGGGAGTTCCACTTCTTGGCAGTGCGCAGTAAAAAAGAAGAAGAAAAGCGCTTAGTACGGCATCTTGGGATATTAACCAAGTGAGGATGGTATCCCGCCGTGCGTCTAGATTGCCGATGGTAAAATGGTGAAGGCGGAATGAGCTCATGCAGCTCCCGAGCACACTCCCCGTCAGAGAAGACCGTAAACCAGCAGGCAAATTCTGTTAAAGTTTACGTAATACTCGTAATATCATTTCAATAGAAACACAACTACCCGCGTTTCACCATTGTGCTAAACTCCAATATTATTGGTGCAATGTCCTCCTCACAAATCAATGGGGACAGATTTACATATAATAATATTGGACTTCAGATAGATATTACAATACAATTAGTTGTGATTCTATTAAGATTCGATTATTACGTAAAACAGCAGAATTGACGTGCTGGGACATGTCGTATTGTACTAACATATAAAAAGCGATGATATTGTAATAGGCGGCCTTATCGATAGCTAACGATTTCTTGTAGCATAGGATGGCGAAACATATCCATAAATAGCATATTGGGCATATAACTAGACGGACATGTAAATAACAATTTAAAACAATAAAAACAAAGTAAAGACAAATAATAGCGTAAGAATCAATAATATACATGAATACTGCGACCAAAATGCTCCAGCCACAAGCGACAACTAGTGAGCGAGAAGTGAGAAAAAGCAAATAGAAAAGCAGAGTAGTCTTCTGATAGAAAATGGGATTTTGATTGAGCTTTGAAAGATTTTGTCCATAAACTATATAAATATAGCTATATGACATAAAATACACGGAAAGGAAGAAGGACATGATCTCCTACTTCCATCAGTGAACGTCACTGTGTATGTTTCAGTTCCCGGGAATTTTTCCTCTTCGAAATCAAACGAAAAAAGAGCAAAATGCAAATACTGTATAATAATCATTTGATTATTGAATTGACAGACGATGAAGATGAAGTAGATTTGTAAGTATTTTTCCCCTGCTTCGTCTGTCTACGGCAGTTGCCTATTTTCAACGTCCCAGGATTTTTGACGCCCAATAATCATATGAAAATAAACCGACCAAGTGCGAGACGGACTCACGTCCGAAGGGTTCCATACCGGAAACGTGCAAAAAAAAGAACATAATTTATTGTATGGGAGCCCTCTTGAATAATTATTTTATTCAGATTTTTAGTTTTTTTGTTTTGTTGTAGTCCTCACAGTAATACATAATCTGTGAGAAATGCCATCTAACCATCACGATTCTACAGACGGTTAGACGGATAGCGAGGTCTTAATACCAAATAGTGTACTGCTTTTTACCCTTTGGGTATGAAACCTTAAAACTTTATGTTTTAACTCGTATTAAGTATCGCAAGTGACACGTTTAAATTTCTTCGTACGGTCTTTTTAGTTTCTTTTTCTTATAAAAATCTGAAGATAAAAGCGTTTAAGAGGTAAGTGCGTACAAATTATTATGAACCACGGGTGGCGAGTTGCCACTTGTACCTTGAGCACCTTCAACAAAGATAAATTTTGTCAGTCACGACGTATACGCACGGGCGCGCTACGTACTATACTCTGCCATCTCGCAATATATTCGCCGTCTCACATTAAGGTCACATCTCCTGGGATTTATTCTAACAGTCCTAAGCTTGAAGAGTGTCTGATAGCACCAGAACAGAGATTCGTATACCTAATGTCCGAAACGAAAATGATCTATTCATGTTCAATATTTGAAGTGTCCGAGCCCAGACAGACAGATCAGCAGGCAAAACTCGTAATAGTAACTAACAACCGCCGCGCATCAATCGTTCGAGATATCGTAATCACAGAAAATTATGTCACAAATATTCATTTTACATAAATAACGTAGGAACAATATATGAAAATGTTCTTAAGATTGACGAAATCTCTCGAATAAAGGTAAAATACACGCAGTTGACGCCCACGTTATTATATAACTCGACAAAACCGATACACTCGTACATTAAATTTACTACACGATTTCTATTCAATAAGTAATCTTTGTGTTTGTTATGTACAGTTTATTCCGCAAGCGGCTAGCCCGCGTGATCTTGTATTATACATAAAAACCTCCTTTTGAATCACCCTATCCATGAAAAGAAACCGCATCAAAATCCGTTGCGTAGTTTCAAAGATTTAAGCATTCATATGGATATAGGGACAGATAAAGCGACTTTGTTTTATATTATGCAGTGATAGTGATTTGTTTGATTATTATTGGTATGTTAAACTTGATGTGCGACTAGGGTTACCAGGGGTTTAAATCGAAAAGCCGGTTGCATGCAAGTGTTTGTGCAAAAAATCCTGATTTCTGTAAAAAAATCCGGTCTTTGGCCGAAAATAAAAGTCACTAGATTGGGAAAATAAAAGTTACTTAAAAAGGTTGGGGGCCGCCTCTCCCGCGCCTCTGCATGTCAAGACGTGCATACTCATCATAATATGGTTGTTTTAATTTGGCGTTCGCTGGGCATCGTACCGGGTGGCGCTTATTATTTATTGACATGACTAAAAATCCGGTCTCGAATGAAATCCGAGCGGAATCCGGCCTATTTCCTCAAAATCCGGTCTAGTCCGGATTTATCCGGTCAGATGGTAACCCTATGTGCGACCGTCTTCCTCTATTTCCATGACTAGCAGACGACACCTTAGCGATGTTACAACGATATTATTCATTTTACTACTTTGACATACATTTTAATGACGACAAGCGAATGATAATGAATGATTATTAAGGACTCGGCAGCAGTGTTATAAAAGAAATTGACAAAGTTGTAAAACGGATTGAAATATAGCCATAACATGCTATGACACCGTATATATCCTATGGCTAGAGAGTTGTGCAAGTAAACAGTAATTACGTATAAAGAGGTCCCGACAATTTTACATTGAGATTTAATCTCGTATTTTTTTCAATGTTTGGAAACGATTAATCAAGTTCAAACAATATTGGTTTATTATAATTTTCACGCGCACTATCCATAAATGAAACAACTTTTAAACGTTTGCATTTATAGTTTTAGACGTACCGAAGTACAGTGTGATATGAACGCGGAACCTGTAGAGGATTTGAAACGTTTAAAACTAAATACAAACGCTATGAAACCGTTTGAAAGTTGTTTCATTTAAGTTTAAACTAGTTAAAACTAGCTTGTTGCGTTCTTTATTTAGAGGCCTCAGTCGCTGAGCGATTATGTTAGCCTAATATAGATTTGTTGGAGAAACGAACTAAACGAAAGTGCATTTTTATACACCAGATAATAAATATATTGAAGCTAATTATCGGATTATTATAATGGAAAATCGTGCAACAAACACGGCACAAATTAGTTTTTTCTCTGCATATTACACAAGGGATGTTGTGTGATAGATAATATAGCTAGAAAAACAAATCATATTTATTAAAATCCACATAACTATACAAAAAAAATTAGCTAAAATTAAAATTATGGGTATCTTTTGTGAATCAGCGTAAAGTTTCACCGAGTATAGACCATCGGTTATTGACACATGCCAAAGTAATTAGTTAATCGTATCGTAATCTACCTCATATTATTAAATATTTTTATTATCATTTAAATTATGCGATATCATATCAAGTTATTATCTTATGTCATTCATATAATCTCATTTCTTTCTTTGAAACAACTGCCCCTGACAGAGTCTATAGATGATCGATTCTTTAAAACAATTGAAATAATCATGTAATATGATTTGCAAAAAACAACAGATTAATGAAAGGCATTTATATGTATCACAAACGTGGCAAACAACGTATCATTGCAATAGTTTTTTAGTCTTCGTTATTAGAATTATTATAAGTAACATTTTAACTTACTTACGACTGACTGAACGATGCCATAACACTACAGACATTCAAAAGTTTGTTTTTAAAAACCAAACAAAAATATGTTACAATTGTAAATCAATTACAAAATTTGTGTACTGTTATGTTCTACCAACCTTTTCGAGCGCACCCTGGTGTACCTCCAGGTGTTACTGCTGTAATGTCCAGAGCTCGACGGGCACAACAACAACTGCAAGCTGTTAGGCCGGGGCTGGCGCTGCTTCTTCACGCGCAATTTCACAACTTCCTCGATCCTCTTCACCTCCTTGATCGGAGGCTTTTTCGAATCGCAACTCCATCTTTTCTCACAGTCGTAGTTGTCTTCCAAATTCAAATGGTCCAGTCTATCTTTTAGCATGCTCCTTTGCAATAAATCTGGTGTAACATGCCTCCTGACCTCTATCGGCGATAGTGGCGGTCTACGAGGCTCGAATACCACTTTCGAGTACTCATTGCTCCGCCGCCATAGTCTTGGCGATAACGGCCAAAATCGTGTGGTCGGTTGCATGGACTCCATAACCATTTTCGAATGTCGTTTTTTTATACACAATATCGACTTTATCGTACCTATAAAATCACACATCATTCAAGAACACGTGTTGATTTAAGGGTTTCCTTTTACTCACTTGTTTCTATTTATGATTAGTAATGCATGTGCGTTTCTCCTAATCGGAAGCGATAAGCCGAATACAGAAAGTAACTTGATCAGATGAGGCATCGCCTTATCCCCCCACCCCTTTCATCATACGAGCTGTCTGCGGCGATGCGAATTCAACTTGCAATGACTCATTAAATAACACTCGTAGGATAATAATGTGTACGTGATATGCTTGTAATAGGCTACTGGATGATTACCACATTGCAGATGAACCAGTGACGTATATTACAAAATTATATATTTTATTTTATTTGTAATACATTTTTATTATATAATATAGAACTACGAGAGAGCTATAAAATGACTTCAACGATTTAATATTGGTATAGGACACACGGGAATGGAATGAATGCGTTATATCTACGTATATAATCGGACATTAGTAAGAGGATGTCCCTTGTGTGACCTTCGCATACTAAGTGACTCAGGAAGCTTCGTTTCACCGGATATCTACATTAATATATGGTACTATATGAATACTATGTTGACGATGTAGAATGTAATATGCAAGTCTAATTAATTATATATGGACATATTATATCACACTCTATTTACACCACAATGATGCTTCTACTACCATGGTGCAACTGACATTCAGGTTTACACGCAGTAATGCGTTTAAATAATCATAGTTAAAACAATTTAATGATTTTTAAACTAAGAACGAAAGTTTGCGTTCAACCCCTTCGCCATAGCTTAAATAAAAGAAGTTCAGAATAGCCTCAATCGTACCAAGCGACCTATTTAGTGTTGCGGTTCGCGCGTGACAGTGATGCGCTCCACAGGAGCAATCGGTGGATCACAGAACAACTAAAACCAATTTTATCTAAACTAAAACAAAGTTAAAGTCAAGATATGTTGACTCTATCATAACTTTAGATATTGCTTAGTTTGAATTATTTAGGCGACAGATTTGGGTGACTCCTAAGTTTAGTGAAAACGGGCATCAGACCTCTTTTCTGTGTTCTGCGGTCAGGACTGGACGTGCTTCGCGCGACCCATGGTGCAAAGATAATTGAAATACAAGTAAGATGAATCTGGATCGCTGATCGGAAACAAAGCATCAGATATGTCCGTGAGCTGCTTCAACCACACCAGCATGCTCACTCTCGAACGTAATCGCGATCGATCGATATTGCAATGGTGCGTTTCTCTTGATTTGGTACACTAGCGCCAATAGGCTTAATATTGCGTGGTTATTGAATGACCTAATTGACATTGAGTAAGTACAGAGTCTATGTTTCAATAGTACGAGCTAAGATATAACGAAAATTGAGATGTTATATGATTGAAATTCACATTAACATTGCGTTAATGAGTAAGCCTGCTGATAAGTATAACAGTTGTATTTAGTTTCAGGTGTTAGAAAGTTCGAGAACGTCCTAAGATTACGTCTGCGAATACCTTCACAACAATTTCAATGTGTATACATTGACATTACTCATACAATTGAATACCATTAGCCACGTCCAATAATTTGTTTGTGCTTTTAGTGCTTCCTATTTCTAATTAAACTTTAAATTCGGTTTCGATGTAATAAGTTGACTGTCGTTTGTTTTGATAGATCGTTGGGGTACTTAGCAACAAAATTTAATAAACCAAAAAATTAATATAAAAATAATAACTATAAAAAACAAAACATCGAGGCTAACAACCAGTGTAAGTAATTATGGACGTTTAATAACAATGACACGACATAAGCCTACACACAACCACCAACATGTGAAGGTCGAACAACAAAACAAACTAAAGACAATCGAACGAATACGACGAACTCAACGAACTCCGGTACCTAGTTGGGTGCGCGGAAGCCTGATATATAGAACCACAAGTAGGGTAACCAATTTGATATTGGTTAGAAAATTTATTTGCTATGTGTCAAATCAATAACATATATATATATATATCGACGCTGGAAAGCACACACGTAGTGACCTGCAAAACCAAAATGGACATTTAGAGTGGAAAATCTTTATATTTTTCAAAAAAATATGTTATTTCTGTATAAATTAACTAAGAAACTCCTTATTTGTTACCATGGACGTTTATGGGAAATATTTATCAAAAAAGTAAAAGTTTTTCTGCTCTGAAGAACAATCTTGGTTTTGCGGGTTACTACGTGTTTGCTTTCCAGCGTCGATATATATAAATCATGATATTGTGTTCGTGAATAAAAAAAATGTGAGGATCAAATAATTTACGAACGGGTGTAGTGTTAACAATTCCAGCCAACTTGAATTGTTGCGCAATCAAAGTATTATATTTTTATTTATAGATATATGCATGTTACGTTCAAAGATCAAAATGGCATTAACAAAATAACCACATAACGAATTCCGTATTGTGACTGTTATGCTATTCGACCACAACCCGTTGTGGCAATGAAGAAAAACCATGAAGCAAGGATAAGTAAGGATAAAATATGACAAACAACGCACGAGCCGAGCGAATTGCTAATGTAAAATGAAACAGCTAGTTAAACCAATTAATGCTCAGTACGCGTCGCGGCCATTTTTTCATTCCCACAACGCGTTGAAGTCGAATAGCATGCCAGAAACGATACGGATTTCTCTATGTGGTTATTCAGCGATTGCCACAAATTGTTCTAAACTTTGTTTTTGCTCAATTAGCGATTTCGATTTTTTTAACACATATTTTTTAAACACAAAAACAACAAACCTTTTTTATTTAATTTTTTCAGATCCGAAAACTCTAATGTTTGAAAAATTAATCAATCAAATAAGGTAATATTCAAATTCATCCAAGTCTTTGCATTCACGAAAACCGGACAAAGTTAGGACTGAAAAGTTTGGTTATGTCTCAAGAGATCCGGACTGAGGGTAACCCTACATCCGCAGGAAATGACTTGTGACTGCGAGAAGCCTGAGTCAACCAACGGTGGCGATCTAACAGGTCGAAAGGAAATCGAATTTGTGTAACCCCAATACGATAGACTCGGTGATATAGATCCTTCATTCGTAGAGATAGAATTAGGAGTGCAATTTTATCGATGAACTAACGTATGCTTAAAATGTATAGCAAGTCTTATTTCAACAAATATGAGGTGTAAAATATTATGCATTGGGTTCGTAAGTCGTCGATCGCCCGATGACGTGATATTTGAATCGTTCTGATTGGCCGACATTTGCAGCGCTTCGAAACTAAGCCTTCTGCGCAGGTACATCAGTGAGCCATATCAGTTGTATCTTACAGTACCATTTTATTTTCTTGGATAATTGCAATTTTATGTATTTGCATAATAATTTGGATGAAAACAAAAAATACAAAACTACCCCATGAAATTCAGCGTTTATTGAATTCGTTGTGGTAATTGTGCACTTTTATACGTGGGAAATGGTTTTAATATGTGACTCAATCTGTAGTTTAACTGCGGACATTGGGAATTTTTATAATAACCGTAATTAGTTTTTGACGTTCTATTTCGCGCAATATGCCATCCTTCGGCTCTGTCTCATTGACTGCCGAGAAGATTTCTTCTTGTTCTTTTTGCTTTATATACAGCCTTCACTAGAACATGACGTTCCATAGTAAATACATTCAAAAACGTAAACTGGAATCGTTTGTCAATAAGTTTTCCTTTGCCATTCTTTTCCAAGGGCCTTGTACACCGCCGGTACAATAATGGCGTATAAATCGATTTATTTTCGAAACGTTTTGGTAACTACCAACAAGTATTCACCATCAGAGAACGGACAGCCTCATTATCATGATAATATAATACTCTTCATTGTTGGATACTGATTATGGGATAAGAACTTTGCCGTGGTGGCTATTGAGAAAACATCAAAAGAGTTCGTGGTGTTAACAGAGTCGTACTTAGGGTTAATTAGAGCGCGTGATCCAAGGGTCTTTAATAATACACACATTAATAAATCTGAGTAATACGATTCGCGTTAAGGAAATTGTATTCACATGAATTAATATATATTTTCTTTACGCGCTAACTATATAATTTGGGTTTTTCATAAACAAAAATAAGTACAAAACCTTAGTTTCATATTAAATATATTTTTATTGCTTGTGTCCTGCAAGGACATTTATTCGCCAATTATAAAAACATCCTGATTCATACGTATCTAAAGTAAGATGAAATTTAATGCTGTTTCATATACGTATTATATAACAGCACATACTAGTTTAATATTAAATAAAGAAACCTTTAAAGATGCAGACTTGAGGCAACAACGGATAAGAGCATCTGTCTAGACCACTCCAAGATATTCCTTTTATATTTCTGAAAACCGAGTTAGGGATAATAGAGGTTTTGTTCGGGTTGCTAAACTCTACTATACCTACATTTTCCAAAGTTAATAAATTATCTTTATTCATCTTAATATCATTACTTTATTGCACAAATATAAAAGAGGTGTCCGAGAGTTGAGTAGTTGACATATATTGTAGCCGATTCGTTGAATAGTCAAACACCGATGTTAGCACAGTAACTATTTATTGCGAGAGAGGGCGGAAACGGAAAAACCACCACTTTACAATTTTTAATGTGGCAGTGTCGCCAACAGAGGAAGTATTAAAAAAAAATAACTTTAGTTACAGAAATCAAATTAGATGTCGCCACGGTACTTTCTTGATTTCTCCATGACAACCCGGTTTCCTTTCATGTTTAAATGTAAATTAATTTTCAAAATTCAATAAACAACTCATATTCTATTTGTACTTTTTCGTATTTGTATTGATATCTAAGTTTCGATCTTTACAAATTTTAGTTTTTTAATATGTTATTTAAAAGGAACGGAAGCGACTAACTTTGGTCTATTCGTTTCTTGAATATTTTTGGTAGAGTCGCCATGTAGCATTAATGCTTGCTTTTTTTCTTAAAACACTTCCTC